TATGTTACATGCACTGCTAACCCTGTAATTTTTTTGATTGCTGGGGACAGGGATGTTCTGTATCAATTAACTCACTGTCCCCATTGTTTAGTTAAAGCAGATTAAAAGAGTTATATTTTTTAAAACAGCAATAATATAGATTAAGTATAATATTTTATTCAATACAGGTAGAAGGGGGGAAGGAGAAATAAAACAAACCAATTGTACATAAGATTCATGTATGTATGACCTTCCGAAAAGGTTTTCAGAAGTATTCAAAGCTTGTCAATTTCATGGAATGACCATTACATAGAGTGATTCAGAGTAAGGTGACAATTCTGCCAGATGCTGCAATAGGTTAGCTGAAGTCCCAGTAGACATATCTGCAGAACCACCTCTGTTTCCTTCATGTTGTAGCCTGAATCTAGTTGTAGAAAGACACTTGACTCAATCCATTGTAACCCTGGTTTTTGTTACTATGGCTTATGCTGTGTGATCCCTCCCATATATTTAATTTGCCATTTGTTGCACTGAACTGCTTGTTGCGTGAAACCACCTTCTGTCGACTTTAACACACACAACAGGATTCACCGTAGTCTAAAATTCATGAAACTGTGTTTTTTTCTGCATCAAACCATAAAGAATGCACCTTTATGTCCATTGAAGTCACAAATTAGGGCAGACACTACAAAGAAAACAAATTCTTAGAGGAGTGGGAAAGTGTTAGTAATTTCTGAAGGTCTCTTTCCATTCAGCTTCTTCCCTATTTGAGGAATATCCAGTTCAACAACACTGCTGGAGATGAAATCTACTTCTCAGAGAATAGACTGGGGTCTGCTCGTTATGATCTTTTCAACTGGGTTCTCCTCCCCAATCAATCTTTTGTGTCTGTCAAAGTTGGACAGATAGATCCCAGGGCTCCTGCAGGACAGGATTTCACCATTAACTCCGATGCAATTGTCTGGGCAAAAAAGGTGAGCTGGAAGGTAAAATAAATCTAGTAAAAGGGTCATTCTCTTCTGAGGATTAAAAAGATCTCCTTTACTGGAGAACGGGTTACTGAATCAAAAATTTGGCAACCATTTGATGAAAAGCCTGTTTCATATGTAACATATTTCAGGTTTGATTTGTGACAGATCAAAAAGGGTTGAGATCAGGAAGAAATTCTTCTTGAAACACAGGATGCAGTTAGAGCAGCCAAGAGTGGTTTCCATGGATGATTCCCATAAAGTTGGACCTCCATCACTGTTTGCTTCTGAAAATCTGTAGCTCAATTCACAATCCTTCTTTTGCATGTCAAGCCCCAGTTCCAAACCCCAGAATCCATTGGTGGTTTAGAGTGGCATTAGCCTTAATCCTCCAAGAGCTTTTCCTGGTTTGTGCTACACTTGAGTTAAAGATTGAGTCTGAAGATATTCTAAGGATGGAAAGAGAACTATACAAATGAACAAGTGAACCATGGCTGAAGACATCTACAGGATTTCTGTTTTCTCTTTTAGAAGGTGCCCTTTGCCAGATGTGGCATGAAGAGGTGCCAGGCAGGAGAGAGGAAAAGTGTTCCAGAGGGTGAGGAGGTTTGCTGCTACCAATGTGCCCCTTGCCCAGAAGGGACCATTTCTAATCAGACAGGTAGAGCACACTTTCAATGTAGCTTTTCCAGGATCAAGGAAGCCAATCGGTAGAAACAAATATTAATTTTGTTGTTCTTTTTAGTCGATTGATATTCTTCAACGTATTCATGCTTTTCAGCAGAATTTCTATTCATGAATCTAAACTGGCCTTCTGCCCTCCTCCCCAGCCACCTTTCCTGCTCCTCAGCAATTTAATGCAGGGTAGTTTCAGGGCACAAATAATGGGTTCCCTACTAGATGTTCTAGTCCTACTATTGCTTCCAACTACATCCAGGAAAACAAGCTACCAAACTTTTTATGAAGCAGTGGGGTATAAAGTTGAAGCTTTGATTTTCCTTATTTAGGGTGTGCTTTTCTCTCAGTGCTATCAGTCTCCCAGAAGATAAAGAGACCAGTTGGAGAAGAAGGAGATCCATCTAAGTCTGGCTGCCCTTCCCTGCAAAAAATTGTCTGAATGAGTTGATGCAAAATAGAAGTAGCGAACTGGATCCCAAAAGGTGGAAATATCCTTGTCTCGAGCTAACCTATCCTCAGGATAATTGAAGTACTCTTGATTTCAGATTCTGCAAACTGTGACCCCTGCCCAGAAGACCGATATTCTAACATGGACAAGGACCACTGCATTACCAAGAAGATGCACTTCCTGACCTATCAGGAGACCCTGGGATACACTTTAATAACTCTAGCATTTTCTTTCTCTGTGATCACATCTGCAGTGTTGGTGATATTCCACAAACATCGTGACACACCAATTGTCAAGGCCAACAACCGAGATCTCACCTATCTTCTCCTGGTCTCCCTCCTGCTCTGCTTCCTCTGCTCCTTCCTCTTCATTGGTCAACCTGGGAAGCTCACCTGTCTCTTACGACAAACTGCCTTTGCCATTCTCTTTTCCATTGCAGTTTCCTCTGTCTTGGCAAAAACTGTCATGGTGGTTCTGGCCTTCATGGCCACTAAGCCAGGGAACAAGGCAAGGAAACTCTTGGGAAAACCACTGACCAACTCCATTGTCTTAGTCTGTCCCCTGGTCCAAACAGTTCTTTGTATTATCTGGCTGGTAACCTCTCCCCCATTTCCCAACATGGACTTCCACTCCTTAGTAGCAGAGACCATCTTGGAATGTAATGAAGGCTCAACTTTAATATTTTATGCTGTCCTCGCCTACCTGGGTTTTTTGGCCCTCGTGAGTTTCACAGTGGCCTTTCTGGCTAGGAAATTGCCCGACAGCTTTAACGAAGCCAAGTTCATTACTTTTAGCATGCTGGTCTTTTGCAGCGTTTGGATCAGCTTCCTCCCCACCTACCTGAGCACCAAAGGGAAGTTCATGGTGGCCGTGGAGATCTTCTCCATATTGGCCTCTGGGGCTGGTCTTTTGGCTTGTATCTTTTTCCCCAAATGCTACATTATCCTACTAAGGCCACATCTGAATTGTAGAGAGAATATAATGAGGCACAAAAGTGTCTGATTTGTCCTGGGATTGGGAAATTTTACTTGGATTGGGGCATTTTGGCAGTTGTCCCTGGTAAAGACCCAATCATCTTCTGAGTAATATACATTGATATCAAAGATATGGATATTTATTAAACAAATTTATGTAGCCACCAACTCTCACACAGGTGACTCTGGGCAGCTGAAAAAATATTTTTTTAAAAAAAAAAATTCATCCTATAATAAATCCATGATATAAAAAATACATAACCCACAATTTACAGCAGAAAGGTTTCCCACTTTAATCAGAGTCAATAAAATGTGCTGGATTCTGTTGGGTGGCTGGGGAGCAGGAGGTAAAGACTTTTATTTTACAAAAGTAAATGTTGCAAATTTTAAAAGATATATATTAATTTCCATTTTCTTTTTCTGCTCTGTCTTTAATGTTCTTTGGTATTTTCTGTTTATTTGTTCCTGGAGAGCCTTCTTCTCCTCTTCTGGCTCTCGGCTCCATCTAAGAAAATGGTTGGAAGAACATTTCCCTCTGTCAGGTTCTGAAGGAAGAAAATCAATTACTCCCCCCCCCCCGCCCATACATTTCTAATTTTCTTCCTTCGTCCCTATTTCCTCTTCTCATCTGGGCAGTCTATCTGTTAGTTTGCCTGTTTATCTGACTCCTGGCCTTTGGCTCTTTTTATTCAATATCTTCCTCATGAGGCTGGTGGTGGAAGAGCTTCCCTGAAGCCATCTTGTTTTCCCTCCTTCTTGTCTCTTTCTTAGCACTTCAACTCTTCTCTTTGTTTATTCCTTCTTAATTCTTCATCTGAACCTTCATTCCATCAGAGGGAACTCTCTAGAAGATGTTCCAACACTTCTTTCCATGATTCCCTTCCATGTGATCGTAAATAAAACAGCTGCCACATCTAGCATTATTGCTCACACTTACATGGCTACAACTGACTTCCATGCTGAGGGCCTCTTAGCTCTCAGTCTGAAAGTCAAGTGTTGTGTCACAATGTACCTTTTGAACAGCAGTAAACCCCCACTATTTTACTTTTCATGGATATCACTTGTCCCCAGTGAGCAGTTTTTGTCCTCCTGACCTGGTTTCTTGACTTGTATCTGATCCCTCCACAAATGCTACATTCCCTGATGAGGTCCAAACAGAATCACAGAGAAAACATAACAAGGAATAAGAATCTCTGACTAATGAAGGGATTGGAAACTGTTAGTTCGACTTTGGGGCTTGCTTAGAATTTAAAAACATTTCAGACAAGTGAAGAAAAGAAGGTGGGAGTTGTCCACTTCACAGCTCATATTCAACTGTGTGACTGGTCACAATATACTTGTTAGCCACCCAGAGTCATCTTGTGTAGGGAAGATACCACAAAAGTGTAATAAAAAGGTCTGCAAGAGTCACCCACCCCCTTTATTTTTCATGAAAGCCACTTGTTCCCAGTGATGCCGTGTCCCAACGTGATAATTAACACAGATTGATCTTGAAGAAATGGATGTGGATTTTCAGTAGGACTTTTATCCCTTTATTTGTTTTAATGAAGAATCTTTGAAAAGAAGCATCAAGTTGGGTTACAGTTACAGTGGCAAAGAATAATCATAGAGAAATAATAAAGAAATACTAATACTTTCTTAAGGGGAGCCTGGAACCTCCACAGAGCTCATCCCTGGGTGGCGGATTGGGGGGCCCTACCCATTATGGCTTTAGACTGTAATGGCGGGTTGGACTGAATCAAATACCTCCTGTGGACCTAGTGAGTGGCAGCTGGCTCCCCAGTATTGACTGAAGGCGGAGACCATATTGGTTGGAACGGATTCAGAAGAACAGCATACAGTGTGGTGGCAGCCACTTGAACAGCATGTGCACAGCAGTGTAGAAAGCAAAAGGAAGACTACTGAACTATATATTTCCCAAGAAAATCATGTTAGTGGTAGCAAAACCTAACAATGACGCCGAGTACGGGCGCCCCTTAAATGGGGCAGGGGTGATAAAAATCTCCCGGTGTGCTAGAAGCATGGTAAACCCAAAACTATGAATTGGTACGTGGAATCTGAGAAGCCTATACGAAGCTGAGAAAACACACAACACTATCCTAGAAATGTCCAAATACAATATCTCTATATTGGGAGTGAGTGAAACGCGCTGCCTGAAAATGGAATGTGTAGAATAGGAGATTATACTATCTACTACTCTGGTGAGAATAGCAAAAACCATCCAAATGGAGTAGCTGTAATTGTAAACAATTGTGTAAATAAATGCATCAAGTCCTTTATTCCTGTATCCGACAGAGTGATAATGATCCAAATAAATATTACTACAGGAAATATGAATGTTATACAAGTTTATGCTCCCACAGCTGACAGTGATGAGGAGGATTTTGAGAAGTTCTACGAAGATAGAAGCAGTGTACTGAAAACTCTAAAAGGTAATGATATCACAATACACATGGGGGACTTCAAAGCAAAAGTGGGAGAAGGAAGTGATGCTGGAAACTTTGGCTTAGGAACCAGAAATGGTAGAGGTGACAGATTTGTAGACTTCTGCAGGGAACATAGGCAATGTGTGATGAATACTTTTTTCAAGTTGCTAAAAAAACACCTCTACACTTGGAGATCACCAGCAGATACACGAAATAATGCAATAAGGAACCAAATTGACTATTTTACAATAAACAAAAGATTTAGAAACTCAGTAAAATCAGTAAAGACATACCCAGGTGCAGATGTACTATCTGATCATAATCTACTACTTGCTGAAGTCCAGCTGAAACTAAAAAGGATGAAAAACCCAAACCCTGCTAAACCAAGAATCGACAGAGACTTCATCATTAAACATGGAGGTAATTCTTATAACCCTTATAAGAATTATTCTATTGGAATTGGATGAAGAAACCATGATACCAACACCCCATAATAAAATCTTTTTGCAATGGGGGTCACTTTGTCATGCCCTACGATACATTCCTGTGATTTGATGCTGTTCCTGATGTCACTGCTGTGACAATGGATGTCAACGCTCTGACAACTGAGAACCAGCAGCCATTTTTACTTTTGCTTTTAATGTGCCTTTTCTATTCTCTTAGAGTTGATATGTTGAAGGGGGGATAGGGTAAATGCCTGAGGGTTTAGCTAGCCATAAAAATGTAGAAATGTGGGAACTCAAGGATGTGTTCTGATAAGGTTTTTGCGGGCTGAGGGGCCAGAGAGAAAAGCCCACAATTTTTGCTAATTGGGGAATGTGATTTATGACAGCCTTTGTGGGGTGGGAATTGCAATTTGTTACTTTGTATCTGGGAAAAGGGAATCTCATTCTTGGGTTCAACTATGTAAGTGCCGATACTTTGTTTCCTAATAAAAAGTTCTTTAAGAAAGAATTCTTGCCTTGAAGTGCTTTTACTGGTTTCATCTATCAGAACTATGACATCTGATGTCTAGATTCACAGGCTTGCAATTATCTCGTAATGTGACGGTCACTATAGAATGCTGAAAGCCATGCTTTCTCATTCCCAGCCACCCCAGTTGCTAAAGATCTATTTTTTCTTTCAGCTTCTTGCCTATCTGAAGAATATCCAATTCAATGACAGTGCTGGAAATAAAGTCACAATCTCAGAAAATGGACCAGGTACAGCTCAGTATGATGTTCTGTACTTGCTTTTGCTCCGCAATCAGTCTTTTGTCCCCATAAAAGTTGGACAAATGGATCCTAAGTTTCCCCCAGGCCAGGAAGTTACCATCACGTCTGATGCAATGACCTGGGCCAGAAAGGTGGGCTAGAAGGAAATGTTCTGATTTCAGAAAATGATTCATTCTTTCCTAGGGATGCAGAATTTCTTTCTCATTGGAAAAAAGGGTGGATTGAATCAGAAAAATTGATAGCCAAGTGGTGAAAAGATATTTTCATGAAACAGATTCAGGTCTGATGTCAATGCTGCTAATATTGGATATTCTTGCTTTGACAAAATATGCAGAACTGTCTGGTATTTTTAGAGTTAATTTAGATGATGTTGGGAGGGGAGGGGTAAGAATATGTGTAGAGAACGGGCTTCAGAACAGAAGTGAACCTTTGCCCCCAGCCTGATTGGAGACCGTGATTTATGACAGCAAAGTAAAGGAGGGAAAATGCCAGTTTGAATGCCTTTCAGGAGAATGCAAGTGACTCGCAGGAGTCTTCTCCAGCAGAATAGTTCAAAGGCCTCAATTCTTTGTCCAATTTTCACATCCATACATTGCAACTGGGAAAACCAAGGCCTTGACTATACGCACTTTTGTTGGCAGGGTGATGTCTCTGCCTTTTAGTATGCTGTCTAGATTTACCATAGCTTTCCTCCCAGGAGCAAGCGTCTTTTAATTTCTTGGCTGCAGTCCCCATCTGCGGTGATCTTGGAGCCCAGGGAAAATAAAATCTGTCTGTCAGAATCCAATTATATTTCATCTCTAGTTATCAATTATAAAAAACCCCATTTCTGCCTTCTATGGATTCTGCCATACGATGAAGGGAAGGGGGTGAACAAAGCGGCTTTATGGCTCTCACTTCCTTCGGTACACTTCAAAGGAACTGATTGTGTGTATTGCCAAAAGAGCTAACCATAAGAATGGAGCTGTTACCTTTCATGTAGTTTTCTTTGAAGTCTCCATCCAGCCAGCAGAAAGGAAAAGGGGGTGGAATTGTAATGCCTGAAACCGTCACTGGAAGAGGGGGGTGATTGGGTGGGACTACTGGGGAACCCCTTAAAACCTTGAATGGGAGAGTTTGGACCCCAAGTCCTGTCTAGAACGCATGCAACCATTTTCTCTTAATAAAGGATGCCTGTTGGAAGAATTATTCCAAGAGTTCTGTCTTCTTAAGATGCAAAGTGGGCTGGGTCCTTACACTGTCAATACAATAATTATTGTATAAAGGTTTTAAACAAAGATTGTTTTCCTTATTTACAGCTTTTATTGATTTATTGTACACTGCCCATGACTTTGCTAGAGATGTGTGCTCCATTTATTCCCTTGTCTTGTGGGTATAACTAAATCCTGTAGGCATTGGTATGATGACTCACACTTCCTAAGATGCAGCAGACTGGCACCCTGCCCCATCAGCAACCATTCTATCTGAACATACGATGGCACAGGCCAAACTCCATCTTGTGTGCAGGTGTTCACTTTCAGATAGCTCATAAAGTCAACTTCACCTTGACTCTCAAATCCACCTGCTCTGTGGATTAGCAACAAGAGACACAAACATGTTTTTAACTATCTAATGTGCAAACAACATCTACTGCCCAACAGATAGGACAATTGCTTTCCCCTTGAATTATCAGAAGAACAGTAATTCTCAATGTATCCCCTGTGGACGTCAACCCACAAAAGTCTTCCAAGGTTAAACCTGCAATAAAATATATTGTATAAAATATATTCTCTGAGTTCTCCCAGCGGTGGAGGAGTTTGCCTTGTCCTCCAAAGAGCTAACTGTGGGGTTTGGTGAGACTCAGCTGGCCTTTGTGTCAAAGCCCAAACGCAGGTAAGAGAAAGCATGATTGATACAGTATTTTATTGATGGATTAGTCTGGCAACCTTATTATTAAAATAAAATACAACACACAGTCTCATTTCAGAATAGGACAGATAGGGTGAACTAAAGTGATAAAATACAAATGGCTTAATACATAGTGGCATCAGATAAATTAACCCTGAGGCCATCCAGGGTTGTGTCTGTGGTGCTAAAGCTCTGATGGTATTTCTGAGGCTCCCTGCAATTCAGCTTCCGCACAGACCTTGATTTCTGATCTGGGAGGGACGGTGACAAGGATGACTGGGCTGCCTCTCCTGTTGCTTCTGCTGCTCTCCTGGCTCCTGACTCCAGTTACTGCTAAGAAGATTCAGACCATCTGTCCATTGAAAATACACGTGAAGTTTCGAGATCAGTGGGAGTTTTACAGGCCTGGTGATCTGATTATTGGAGGGAATTTGCCCCTGATGACTTTTGTGGAGTCCAGCGCCCCAGATTTTCAAAAAGACCCATCGCAGTTTATTAATGACATCACGTAAGTTTCACCTGGAGGGGAAAAAAATTTCGTCGACTGTTTTCTTTCCTTTGGATTTTAAGAAATGCTCATTCTAGGGATCTTCAGCTCTTTGTCCTTTTCTCAATAAAGAGGAAAATTCAAGAAATAGGTTAGAATTCTCTGTCTTTAAAGAACTGTTCCTGAGGACAGAGAACAACAACAGTATATACACAAATTATATGTGGGGGCATGACTTGTCTTTCCAGAAGTTACAATCAGGATAATTATCAACTATATAAAAGTAGATAGTGAAGAAGTTGACTTATAACATTCATTTGGACATAAAATCATAGTAAAAAAAACTCAAAGAAAAGTTTGATCTTTTTCCAATGTGGATATTGTAAAAACAAAACAAAACAAAACCTCCTCAGGTTTGGAATGAGCATTGCTCGTTGAATCATGTTCCTTAGTAAATCTGGGCTGTGACCCTCACTGGAGTTGTTGCTCAGATCTGAAGAAGCTGCTCTGAGAGAGGAAGAAAATGGTTAGGGAGGAAGAGGAGCAATTGGGGAGGATTTCAGCCAATGGAGGAAAGTGAAGAAGGGAGGGAGAATAGAGGGAGTTTAGATGATCTGGGATAAGGATGGCAGGTGTTTCTCCTTTCTCAGAGATCCATCCAAGCACTATCAAGGAACATCCCTAAAAAGCCAAAAAGAACCCAATGCAACTTGTCACTTACTGCTGCAAGGACACACACAAAAGGCAAGGCCAACTCCACCAGCACACAAGATCTTTCCTATAATGGTCAACAATGTTTTTCTCACTATAGACCCCTACTCAAAAAATACCATCAATTCCTGGCCTTGATGTTTGCCGTCATGGAGGTGAACAAGGATCTGCTTCTTCTCCCCAACATCACCCTTGGCTTCCGCATCTATGAAAATCAGAAGATGGAGAGGAAGATTTTCTTATACAGCCTCTCCTTGCTCTCCACACGAGGTCAAATGGTTCCGGGTTACAAATGTGGCAGGAAGGACCCTCTGCTTTCTGTCATTGGAGGTCACAACTCCGAATCCTCAAGGCAGATGGCCTCCATCTTCAGCATCTATAAGGTCCCACAGGTAAGGGGTTTGTGTGTGGAGTACACAAACAACCGAAGCATACACAGAAGCCAAGGAAGAAAACAAAGGTGTTTGGTGGGGGGTGGCATACACCAAGGGTGTGTGACTTAGATAATCGATCCTAAAGCTGAATTGGTTTTTCTATTTTGTATGTTAAGATACATTTTTATTTAACTGCACAAAGATACTGGCATAATTCAGAAATGCAGTATTTGCTAAGAGGAGTCACTTCCTGACTTTCATAAAAGTTTATCATCTTTCTGCACTTTACAGTGCAGTTTAATCAGGTTGATGATTTGTTCCTTTGACTTCTGATCTATCACAACTAGACAACACAAGTCAATGTTGGCTCTTCATAAGAAGGGAGGAAGATGAAGCTGAGTCAGTCTGACTGGTGAGTCAGTCTGACTGGTAGGGCAATAAACTACACAACGGGGAGCCTTAAAGTCACCATAAAACTTAACTTTGTTTTTGAAAGAAGAATCTCACTTTCTCCAGCTTGGTGTTGGCTCTGAGTCCACTCAGGGAGACAGAAGCGTTCATCCTTCCTTCTTTCGGATTAACCCCAAGGAATCTGCTCAGTATGAGGGTCTAGTCCATCTGCTCCTGCATTTCCAGTGGAACTGGGTTGGGCTGGTGGCCAACCAAGATGACGGTGGGGAACATTTCATTTCATCTCTGCTGCCAATGCTGAAGGAGAAGGAGATCTGCCTGGCCTTCACTCAAATAATGAAATTTGATTTTTACACTGATCCAGGTACAAAATTACATCATCTTTTCAACACTTGGTCTAAAGCTGAAGTGATTATTTTTTTGGGAGACTACAGTGCTACCACAAATATGTGGATAGTTGTGTTTGTTTATGAAACACACAGTAATACATTTATGAAGGTGTGGATCTTTACATCCAGTTGGAAATTTAATGTGATAAACTCTGGAGATATATTGCTTTTTATGGAGACCTACCATGGTGCTCTGCATTTTAGGGAACACACCAGAGATGTCTCAGAGTTCAGCCATTTTCTCATGTCTTTAGACCCTTTGAAACCCCAAGGGAACTTCTTTCTCCCTCTATGGTGGCAAGTGATCTTTGCCTGCAAGTTCCAGAAACCAGGAGTGATCTTTAAAAAGTGGGAGAAACCCTGTACTGGAGAGGAGAATTTACAGAGTCTGCCAGCTTACCTGTTTGAAACAACTATGACAGGTGAAAGTTACAACATCTACAATGCCATTTATGCTGTGGCACAAGCATTACATGTAATTTATGGATCAGGAGCGCGACCTGCTATGATGAGACTTGGAAAGAGGATCGTACATGTCCCAGCATGGCTGGTAATCTCTGTTTTTTTTTTTAAATCCAATCCACAGATCCTTAGAGCTAACATACAGAGGAAGTTGCCCATGTGTAGAACATAGAAGAATAGAGTTGGAAGGGATCTCAGTTCTAACCCAAACCCTGCTAAAGCAGGAGACCCTATATCATTTCAGACAAATGGTTCTCCAGCCTCTTTGAAGATATCCAGTCCACCCACAAATTCTGAAACCAGTTCCATTGGTTTTGCTCTCACTGTTAGGACATTTCTCCGTAGTTCCAGGTTCCTTCTCTCAATAATAATAATAATAATAATAATAATAATAATAATAATAATAGTAATAATAGTAACAACAACAACAATAATAATAATAACAACATGAACAACAATAACAACAACAAAGTTGAAAGGGACCTTAGAGGTCATCTAGTCCAACACCCTGCTCTGGCAGGAAATCCTATAAGATTTCAGACAAATGGCTGTCCAGTCTCTTCTTAAAAAACTCCAATGTTGGAGCATTCACAGCTTCGGGAGGCAGGTTGTCATTGTTCTAACTGCTTCACTCTTTGGTTAGTTTCCATCTTGTCCCCGTTGTTTAGTGAAAACAGATTAAAACAATAATACAAATTAAGTATAATATTTGATTCAATACAGGTAGAGGGGGGAAGGAAAAATAAAACAAACTAATTGTACATAAGATTCATGTATGTATGACCTTCCGAAAAGGTTTTCAGAAGTATTCAAAGCTTGTCAATTTCATGGAATGACCATTACAAAGAATGATCCAGAGCAAGATCACAATTCTGCCAGATGCTGCAAGAGGTCAACTGAAGTCCTAGTAGACATATTTGCAGAACCACCTCTGTTTCCTTCATGTTGTAGCCTGAATCTAGTTGTAGAAAGACACTTGACTCAATCCATTGTAACCCTGGTTTTCGTTACTATGGCTTATGCTATGTGATCCCTCCGATATATTTAATTTGCCATTTGTTGCACTGAACTGCTTGTTGTGTGAAACCACCCTCTGCCGACTTTAGCACACACAACAGGATTCATGAAACTGTGTTTTTTTTCTGCATCAAACCATAAAAAATGCACCTTTATGTCCATTGAAGTCACAAATCAGGGCAGGCACTGCAAGGAAAACAAATTGTTAGAAGAGTGGGAAAGTGTTAGTAATTTCTGAAAGTCTCTTTCCATTCAGCTTCTTCCTTATTTGAGGAACATTCAGTTCAACAACACTGCTGGAGATGAAATCTACTTCTCAGAGAATAGACTGGGGTCTGCTCGTTATGATCTTTTCAACTGGGTTCTCCTCCCCAATCAATCTTTTGTCTCTGTGAAAGTTGGACAGATAGATCCAGGGGCTCCTGCAGGACAGGATTTCACCATTAACTCCGATGCAATTGTCTGGGCAAAAAAGGTGAGCTGGAAGGTAAAATAAATCCAGTAAAAGGGTCATTCTCTTCTGGGGATTCAAAACATCTCCTTTACTGGAGAATGGGTTACTGAATCAAAAATTTGGCAACCATTTGATGAAAAGCCTGTTTCATATGTAACATATTTGAAGTTTGATTTGTGACAGATCAAAAAGGGTTGAGATCAGGAAGAAATTCTTCTTGAAACACAGGATGCAGTTAGAGCAGCCAAGAGTGGTTTCCATGGATGATTGCCATAAAGTTGGACCTCCATCACTGTTTGCTTCTGAAAATCTGTAGCTGAATTCACAATCCTTCTTTTGCATGTCAAGCCCCAGTTCCAAACCCCAGAATCCATTGGTGGTTTAGAGTGGCATTAGCCTTAATCCTCCAAGAGCTTTTCCTGGTTTGTGCTACACTTGAGTTAAAGATTGAGTCTGAAGATATTCTAAGGATGGAAAGAGAACTATACAAAGCATGGCTGAAGACATCTACAGTATTTCTGTTTTCTCTTTTAGAAGGTGCCCTTTGCCAGATGTGGCATGAAGAGGTGCCAGGCAGGAGAGAGGAAAAGTGTTCCAGAGGGTGAGGAGGTTTGCTGCTACCAATGTGCTCCTTGCCCAGAAGGGACTATTTCTAATCAGACAGGTAGAGCACACTTTCAATGTAGCTTTTCCAGGATCAAGGAAGCCAATCGGTAGAAACAAATATTAATTTTGTTGTTATTTTTAGTCGATTGATATTCTTCAACATATTCATGCTTTTCAGCAGAATTTCTATTCATGGATCTAAACTGGCCTTCTGCCCTCCTCCCCAGCCACCTTTCCTGTTCCTTAGCAATTTAATGAAGGGTAGTTTCAGGGCACAATTAATGGGTTCCCTACTAGATGTTCTAGTCCTACTATTGCTTCCAACTACATCCAGGAAAACAAGCTACCAAACTTTTTATGAAGCAGTGGGGTATAAAGTTGAAGCTTTGATTTTCATTATTTAGGGTGTGCTTTTCTCTCAGTGCTATCAGTCTCCCAGAAGATAAAGAGACCAGTTGGAGAAGAAGGAGATCCATCTACGTCTGCCTGCCCTTCCCTGCAAAAAATTGTCTGAATGAGTTGATGCAAAATAGAAGTAGCGAACTGGATCCCAAAAGGTGGAAATATCCTTGTCTCGAGCTAACCTATCCTCAGGATAATTGAAGTACTCTTGATTTCAGATTCTGCAAACTGTGACCCCTGCCCAGAAAACCGATATTCCAACATGGACAAGGACCACTGCATTGCCAAGAAGATCCACTTCCTGACCTATCAGGAAACCTTGGGATACACTTTAATAACTCTAGCATTTTCTTTCTCTGTGATCACATCTGCAGTGCTGGTGATATTCCATAAACATCGTGACACACCAATTGTCAAGGCCAACAACCGAGATCTCACCTATCTCCTCCTGGTCTCCCTCCTGCTCTGCTTCCTCTGCTCCTTCCTCTTCATTGGTCAACCTGGGAAGCTCACCTGTCTCTTACGACAAACTGCCTTTGCCATTCTCTTTTCCATTGCAGTTTCCTCTGTCTTGGCAAAAACTGTCATGGTGGTTCTGGCCTTCATGGCCACTAAGCCAGGGAACAAGGCAAGGAAACTCTTGGGAAAACCACTGACCAACTCCATTGTCTTAGTCTGTCCCCTGGTCCAAACAGTTCTTTGTATTATCTGGCTGGTAACCTCTCCCCCATTTCCCAACATGGACTTCCATTCCTTAGTAGCAGAGACCATCTTGGAATGTAATGAAGGCTCAACTTTAATATTTTATGCTGTCCTCGCCTACTTGGGTTTTTTGGCCCTTGTGAGTTTCACAGTGGCCTTTCTGGCTAGGAAATTGCCCGACAGCTTTAACGAAGCCAAGTTCATTACTTTTAGCATGCTGGTCTTTTGCAGCGTTTGGATCAGCTTCCTCCCCACCTACCTGAGCACCAAAGGGAAGTTCATGGTGGCCGTGGAGATCTTCTCCATATTGGCCTCTGGGGCTGGTCTTTTGGCTTGTATCTTTTTCCCCAAATGCTACATTATCCTACTAAGGCCACATCTGAATTGTAGAGAGAATATAATGAGGCACAAAAATGTCTGATTTGTCCTGGGATTGGGAAATTTTACTTGGATTGGGGCATTTTGGCAGTTGTCCCTGGTAAAGACCCAATCATCTTCTGAGTAATATACATTGATATCAAAGATATGGATATTTATTAAACAAATTTATGTAGCCACCAACTCTCACACAGGTGACTCAGGGCAACTGAAAAAATATTTTTTTTAAAAAAAAATTCATCCTATAATAAATCCATGATATAAAAAATACATAACCCACAATTTACAGCAGGAAGGTTTCCCACTTTAATCAGAGTCAATAAAATGTGCTGGATTGTGTTGGGTGGCTGGGGAGCAGGAGGTAAAGACTTTTATTTTACAAAAGTAAATGTTGCAAATTTTAAAAGATATATATTAATTTCCATTTTCTTTTTCTGGTCTGTCTTTAATGTTCTTTGGTATTTTCTGTTTATTTGTTCCTGGAGAGCCTTCTTCTCCTCTTCTGGCTCTCGGCTCCATCTGAGAAAATGGTTGGAAGAACATTTCCCTCTGTCAGGTTCTAAAGGGAGAAAATCAATTACTCCCCCCCCCGCCCGTACTTTTCTAATTTTCTTCCTTCGTCCCTATTTCCTCTTCTCATCTGGGCAGTCTATCTGTTAGTTTGCCTGTTTATCTGACTCCTGGCCTTTGGCTCTTTTTATTCAATATCTTCCTCATGAGGCTGGTGGTGGAAGAGCTTCCCTGAAGCCATCTTGTTTTCCCTCCTTCTTGTCTCTTGCTTAGCACTTCAACACTTCTCTTTGTTTATTCCTTCTTAATTCTTCATCTGAACCTTCATTCCATCTGAGGGAACTCTCTAGAAGACGTTCCAACACTTCTTTCCATGATTCCCTTCCATGTGATCGTAAATAAAACAGCTGCCACATCTAGCATTATTGCTCACACTTACATGGCTACAACTGACTTCCATGCTGAGAGCCTCTTAGCTCTCAGTCTGAAAGTCAAGTGTTGTGTCCTATCATCATGTACCTTTTGAACATCAGTAAACACCCACTATTGTACTTTTCATGAATATCACTTGTCCCCAGTGAGCAGTTTTTGTCCTCCTGAGTTGGTTTCTTGGCTTGTATCTGATCCCTCCACAAATGCTACATTCCCTGATGAGGTCCAAACAGAATCACAGAGAAAACATAACAAGGAATAAGACTTTCTGACTAATGAAGGGATTTTAGTTTGACTTTGGGGCTTGCTTAGAATTTAAAAACATTTCAGACAAGTGAAGAAAAGAAGGTGGGAGTTGTCCACTTCACAGCTCATATTCAACCGTGTGACTGGTCACAATATACTTGTCAGCCATCCAGAGTCATCTTGTGTAGGGAAGGTACCACAAAAGTGTAATAAAAAGGTCTGCAAGAGTTACCCACCCCCTTTATTTTTCATGAAAGCCACTTGTTCCCAGTGAGGCCGTGTCCCAAAGTGATAATTAACACAGATTGATCTTGAAGAAATGGATGTGGATTTACAGCAGGACTTTTATCCCTTTATTTGTTTTAATGAAGAATCTTTGAAAAGAAGCATCAAGTTGCGTTACAGTTACAGTGGCAAAGAATAATCATAGAGAAATAATAAAGAAATACTAATACTTTCTTAGGGGGAGCCTGGAACCCCCACAGAGCGCATCCCTGGGTGGCGGATTGGGGGGCCCTACCCATTATGGCTTTATACTGTAATGGCGGGTTGGACTGAATCAAATACCTCCTGTGGACCTAGTGAGTGGCGGCTGACTCCCCAGTATTGACTGAAGGCGGAGACCATATTGGTTGGAACGGATTCAGAAGAACAGCATACAGTGTGGTGGCAGCCACTTCAACAGCATGTGCACAGCAGTGTAGAAAGCAAAAGGAAGACTACTACATTATATATTTTCCAAGAAAATCGTGTTAGTGGTAGCAAAACCTAACAATGATGCCGAGTACGGGCGCCCCTTAAATGGGGCAGGGGTGATAAAAATCTCCCGGTGTGCTAGAAGCATGATAAACCCAAAACTATGAATTGGTACGTGGAATCTGAGAAGCCTATACGAAGCTGAGAAAACACACAACACTATCCTAGAAATGTCCAAATACAATATCTCTATATTGGGAGTGAGTGAAATGCGCTGCCTGAAAATGGAATGTGTAGAATAGGAGATTATACTATCTACTACTCTGGTGAGAATAGCAAAAACCATCCAAATGGAGTAGCTGTAATTGTAAACAATTGTGTAAATAAATGCATCAAGTCCTTTATTCCTGTATCCGACAGAGTGATGATGATCCAAATAAATATTACTACAGGAAATATGAATGTTATACAAGTTTATGCTCCCACAGCTGACAGTGATGAGGAGGATTTTGAGAAGTTCTACGAAGATAGAAGCAGTGTACTGAAAACTCTAAAAAGTAATGATATCACAATACACATGGGGGACTTCAATGCAAAAGTGGGAGAAGGAAGTGATGCTGGAAACTTTGGCTTAGGAACCAGAAATGGTGGAGGTGACAGATTTGAAGACTTCTGCAGGGAACATAGGCAATGTGTGATGAATACTTTTTTCAAGTTGCTAAAAAAACGCCTCTACACTTGGAGATCACCAGCAGATACACGAAATAATGCAATAAGGAACCAAATTGACTATTTTACAATAAACAAAAGATTTAGAAACTCAGTAAAATCAGTAAAGACATACCCAGGTGCAGATGTACTATCCGATCATAATCTACTACTTGCTGAAGTCCTGCTGAAACTAAAAAGGATGAAAAACCCGAACCCTGCTAAACCAAGAATTGACAGAGACTTCATCATTAAACATGGAGGTAATTCTTATAACCCTTATAAGAATTATTCTATTGGAATTGGATGAAGAAACCATGATACCAACACCCCATAATAAAATCTTTTTGCAATGGGGGTCACTTTGTCATGTCCCACAATACATTCCTGTGATTTGATGCTGTTCCTGACGTCACCGCTGTGACAATGGATGTCAACGCTCTGACAACTGAGAACCAGCAGCCATTTTTACTTTTGCTTTTAATGTGCCTTTTCTATTCTTTTAGAGTTGATATGTTGAAGGGGGGATAGGGTAAATGCCTGAGAGTTTAGCTAGCCATAAAAATGTAGAAATGTGGGAACTCAAGGATGTGTTCTGATAAGGTCTTTGCGGGCTGGGGGGCCAGAGTGAAAAGCCCACAATTTTTGCTAATTGGGGAATGTGATTTATGATAGCCTTTGTGGGGTGGGAATTGCAATTTGTTACTTTGTATCTGGAAAAAGGGAATCTCATTCTTGGGTTCAACTATGTAAGTGCCGATACTTTGTTTCCTAATAAAATTTTCTTTAAGAAAGAATTCTTGCCTTGAAGTGCTTTTACTGGTTTCATCTATCAGAACTATGACATCTGATGTCTAGATTCACAGGCTTGCAATTATCTCGTAATGCGATGGTCACTATAGAATGCTGAAAGCCACGGTTTCTCATTTCCAGCCACCCCAGCTAAGGATCTAATTGTTTATTTCAGCTTCTTGCCTTTCTTTTTTTTTATTGAAAATTTTTTAAAAGTTTTACAAAACAACAATCCTCACCCAATCCCTCCCAAACCCACCCCTCCCTCCCCCCTCCCCGAACTTCCCAGAACTGAATATAGGCTTATTTAAAATTTAAAACTTAAACAACATTTACAACTTATAAAATAATTAATAATAATATATATATGATATAAGCATTAAGAGAAAAAAGAAAAAAATACTTTAAAAAGAGAGAAAAAAGAAAAAGGAAACAGAGAGAAAAAGAAGGAAAAAAGAATAAAAAATATATATAAATTCATAAGACGGAAACAAAAGAAAAAAAAGAAAAAAAGCAATCAATACAAATTATAAAAAAGCTAAATAATATTTTTCCATATTCAAATTATGTTGAATAAAATTTATCCATTTTTCCCATACAACAAAAAATTTCTCTTGAGATTGCTCCTTTAAGAAAGCTGTAATCTTTGCCATTTCTGCCAAATACGAAACTTTATAAAACCACTCTTGTAAAGTAGGCAAAGAATCCTTCTTCCAATATTGTCCAACTAACAGCCTAGCGGCTGTGATCAAATTTAGCATCAGTATAACTTCCTTAGCATCACAGTCAGTAATAATACCTAATAAAAATAATTGCAGAGTAAATTTTACCCTCCTTCTAAAAATTCTTTGAATATTCCACCATATCTTAATCCAAAAGGCTTTTATATTTTTACACGACCACCAAATATGAAAATAAGTAGCGTCCAAACAACCACATCTCCAACATTTAGGCTGTAGGTCAGGGTACATAATGGACATTTTCTTTGGATCAAGGTGCCATCTATAAAACATTTTATAAAAATTCTCTCTTAAGTTCTGTGCTTGTGTGAATTTAACATTCCCCACCCAAATAAATTCCCAAGTATCCAATGAAATTGATTCACCAATATTTTGTGCCCATTTAATCATACAATCTTTAATTAATTCAGATTCTGATCCATTTCCACTAAAACCCCGTAAACCCTCTTAATATGGGTTGGTCTTTGATCCCTTACTTGTTTGATAAGATTTTCATCTTCTCTAAGCCATCCCATATTACAATCCGTCTTCCATCTATCCACTATTTGTCTATATTGAAACCATGAATAAGTAAGATTTTCCTGTGTTAAATCTTCCAAAGATTTTAACTGCCAATTTTGACCATCCTATCTAAGTAATTGTATATAAGAAACCGTATCCATCTTGACTCCTTTCTTTATTCCCTCTATCGCATGCCAAGGTATGGCCCATAATGGTATTTTAAAATCACTTCTATAATATTTCCTCCACACCCTAAGCAAAGAAATTCTTATAATATGAGATTTAAAAACCCAGTCCATTTTTTTATTAAAAATTAAATAGGCATGCCATCCAAAAAGTAAATCCCAACCTTCTAAATGGAGTATTTCTACATTTGTTAAATTCACCCAATCACTAATCAATGTTAATACCACCGCATCATAATACAATTTCAAATTTGGTACCTTGAGTCCACCTCTCTCCCCGAAATCTTGCATAATTTTAAGTTTGACCCTTGGTTTTTTCCCTGCCCAAATAAATTTGTTAATACTTTTCTGCCATTCGTTTAAATTAAGTTCATTCTTTAAAATGGATAACATTTGAAACAAAAAAAAAGAAACTTTGGCAGAACATTTATTTTAATAACTGCAATTCTACCCATAAGAGATAACTGTAAATTATTCCAATTCATTAAATCCTTCTGTACCCCAATCCACAACTTTTCATAATTATTTTTATACAGTTTTGCATTAGAAGCGGATAGTGTAACCCCCAAATATTTTACCTTATCAACAACTTCAAAATCTGTTAGATTGACCAAAGTCTGTTTATCACAATTAGTCATATTTTTGGTAATATTTTAGTCTTATTATTATTAATTTTAATAATAAAATTATTAATATGACACAGCCATATTGCTGAATCAATTGTAATAATTTAACTACCGAATAAATAGGTTGATACAAAGTAACAACCAAGTCATCTGCAAAAGCTCTTAACTTATATTCTTTTTTATTAATTTCTATTCCTTTTATTTCTTGAGACTCGCGAATTTTAATTAACAAAATTTCCAATGTTAAGACAAACAATAACGGAGATAATGGACATCCCTGTCTTGTGCCTTTTTCTATTGTTAAAACCTCTGATAAACCCCCATTTACAATAAGTTGAGCAGTCTGTTTTTGATATATATTAGATAAAACTTGTAATATATTTTGTCCAAAATTCATCTCCTTAATTAAACACAACATAAACTGCCAATTCAACTGGTCAAAGGCTTTTTCAGCATCCAAAAATATCAGCCCTGCAGGGACTTGGTTGTTTTTATTTAAATATTCTAATAAATTAATAATTTGTCTAACATTATTTTTCATATACCTTCCAGTTATAAAACCCGATTGGTCCTTATGTATAAGCTGCTGCCAAACCCCCATGAACCTATTGGGTATAATTTTTGCAAAAATTTTATAATCACATTTAAAAGAGATATAGGCCTATAGTTCTTAGGCAAGGTGGGATCTTGGTCCTCTTTTGGAATCAAAGATATAAAAGCATTACGCCATGACGGAGGGATCTCTAAGCCCTGTAATATATTATTAAAAAGCTCACATAACAGTTGGGTCATCTCTTCTACTAAAGTTTTATAATAAATAGACGTCAAACCATCCGTACCCGGTGCCTTGCCTAATTTCAATTGCTTAATAGCTGTCAGAACTCCCTCATTGGTAATTAAACCATTAATCTCTTTTTTCTGATCTTCTGTTAATTTAGGAAAATTAGCTTTACTTAAGTAATTATTTATATCTGTAGTTTATACATTAGTACTCTTATATAATTTTTGATAATAATCTAAGAAAGATTTCTTTATCAATTCTTTCTGATAAACCAATTTGCCATTATAATTTATTTTGTCTATAATTCTCTGTCTCTGTTTCTTTCTTGCCTATCTTAAGAAGGTCCAATTCCATGACAGTACTGGAAATAAAGTCACAATCTCAGAAAATGGACCAGGTACAGTTCAGTATGATGTTCTCTACTGGCTTTTGCTCTGCAATCAGTCTTTTGTCCCCATAAAAGTTGGACAAATGGATCCTAAGTTTCCCCCAGGCCAGGAAGTTACCATCACGTCTGATGCAATGACCTGGGCCAGAAAGGTGGGCTAGAAGGAAATGTTCTGATTTCAGAAAATGATTCATTCTCTCCTAGGGATGCAGAATTTCTTTCTCATTGGAAAAAAGGGTGGATTGAATCAGAAAAATTGATAGCCAAGTGGTGAAAAGATATTTTCATGAAACAGATTCAGGTCTGATGTCAATGCTGCTAATATTGGATATTCTTGCTTTGACAAAATATGCAGAACTGTCTGGTATTTGTAGAGTTAATTTAGATGATGTTGGGAGGGGAGGGGTAAGAATATGTGTAGAGAACGGGCTTCAGAACAGAAGTGAACCTTTGCCCCCAGCCCGATTGGAGACCGTGATTTATGACAGCAAAGTAAAGGAGGGAAAATGCCAGTTTGAATGCCTTTCAGGAGAATGCAAGGGACTCACAGGAGTCTTCTCCAGCAGCATAGTTCAAAGGCCTCAATTCTTTGTCGTTCAGCCTTTCTTATGGTCCAATTTTCACATCCATACATTGCAACTGGGAAAACCATGGCCTGGACTATACGCACTTTTGTTGGCAGGGTGATGTCTCTGCCTTTTAGTATGCTGTCTAGATTTACCATAGCTTTCCTCCCAGGAGCAAGCGTCTTTTAATTTCTTGGCTGAAGTCCCCATCTGTGGTGATCTTGGAGCCCAGGAAAATAAAATCTGTCTGTCAGAATCCAATTATATTTCATCTCCTTCGGTACACTTCAAAGGAACTGATTGTGTGTATTGCCAAAAGAGCTAACCATAAGAATGAAGTTGTTACCTTTCATGTACTTTTCTTTGAAGTCTCCATCCAGCCGGCAGAAAGGAAAAGGGGGTGGAATTGTAATGCCTGAAACCGTTGCTGGAAGAGGGGGGTGATTGGGTGGGACTACTGGGGAACCCCTTAAAACCTCGAATGGGAGAGTTTGGACCCCAAGTCCTGTCTAGAACGCCTACAACCATTTTCTCTTAATAAAGGATGCCTGTTGGAAGAATTATTCCAAGAGTTCTGTCTTCTTAAGATGCAAAGTGGGGTGGGTCCTTATATTGTCAATACAATAATTATTGTATAAAGGTTTTAAACAAAGATTGTTTTCCTTATTTACAGCTTTTATTGATTTGTTGTACACTGCCCATTACTTTGCTAGAGATGTGTGCTCCATTTATTCCCTAACTAAATCTATAACTAAATCCTGTAGGCATTGGTATGATGACTCACACTTCCTAAGGTGCAGCTGACTGCCACCCTGTCCCATCAGCAAACATTCTATCTGAACATATGATGGCACAGGCCAAACTCCATCTTGTATGCAGGTGTTCACTTTCAGGTAGTTCAAAAAGGCAACTTCACCTTGACTCTCAAGTCCACCTGTTCTGTGGATTAGCAACAAGAGACATAAACATGTTTTTAACTATCTAATGTGCAAACAACCTTTACTGCCCAACAGATAGACAATTGCTTTCCCCTCGAATTATCAGAAGAACAGTAATTCTCAATGTATCCCCTGTGGACGTCAACCCACAAAAGTCTTCCAAGGTTAAACCTGCTATAAAATATATTCTATAAAATATATTCTCTGAGTTCTCCCAGCGGTGGAGGAGTTTGCCTTGTTCTCCAAAGAGGTAACTGTGGGGTTTGGTGAGACTCAGCTGGCCTTTGTGTCAAAGCCCAAACACAGGTAAGAGAAAGCATGATTGATACAGTATTTTATTGATGGATTAGTCTTGCAACCTTATTATTAAAATAAAATAAAATGCAGCACACAGTCTCATTTCAGAATAGGACAGATAGGGTCAACTCAAGTGATAAAATACAAATGGCTTAATACAAAGTAGCATCAGATAAATTAACCCTGAGGCCATCCAGGGTTGTGTCTGTGGTGCTAAAGCTCTGATGGTATTTCTGATGCTCCCTGCAATTCAGCTTCCGCACAGACCTTGATTTCTGATCTGGGAGGGACGGTGACAAGGATGACTGGGCTGCCTCTCCTGTTGCTTCTGCTGCTCTCCTGGCTCCTGACTCCAGTGACTGCTAAGAAGATTCAAACCATCTGTCCATTGAAAATAAACATGAAATTTCGAGATCAGTGGGAATTTTACAGGTCTGGTGATCTGATTATTGGAGGGAATTTGCCCCTGACGACTTTTGTGGAGTCCAGCGCCCCAGATTTTCAAAAAGACCCATCGCAATTTATTAATGACATCACGTAAGTTTCACCTGGAGGGGAAAAAAATGTAGGCGACTGTTTTCTTTCCTTTGGATTTTAAGAAAAGCTCATTCTAGGGATCTTCCGCTCTTTGCCCTTTTCTCAATAAAGAGGAAAATTCAAGAAATAGGTTAGAATTCTCTGTCTTTAAAGAACTGTTCCTGAGGACAGAGAACAACAACAGTATATACACAAATTATATGTGGGGGCATGACTTGTCTTTCCAGAAGTTCTCATCAGGATGATTATCAACTATATAAAAGTAGATAGTGAAGAAGTTGACTTATAACATTCATTTGGACATAAAATCAGGGAGAATAGAGGAGAATAGAGGGAGTTTAGATGATCTGGGATAAGGATGGCAGGTGTTTCTCCTTTCTCAGAGATCCATCCAAGCACAATCAAGGAACATCCCTAAAAAGCCAGAAAGAACCCAATGCAACTTGTCACTTACTGCTGCAAGGACACACACAAAAGGTAAGGCCAACTCCACCAGCATACAAGATCTTTCCTATAATGGTCCCCAATGTTTTTCTCACTATAGACCCCTACTGAAAAAATACCATCAATTCCTGGTATTGATGTTTGCCGTCATGGAGGTGAACAAGGATCTGCTTCTTCTCCCCAACATCACCCTTGGCTTCCGCATCTATGAAAATCAGAAGATGGAGAGGAAGATTTTCTTATACAGCCTCTCCTTGCTCTCCACACGAGGTCAAATGGTTCCGGGTTACAAATGTGGCAGGAAGGACCCTCTGCTCTCTGTCATTGGAGGTCACAACTCCGAATCCTCAAGGCAGATGGCCTCCATCTTCAGCATCTACAAGGTCCCACAGGTAAGGGGTTTGTGTGTGGAGTACACAAACAACCGAAGCACACACAGAAGCCAAGGAAGAAAACAAAGGTGTTTGGTGGGGGTGGCATACACCAAGGGTGTGTGACTTAGATAGTCAATCCTAAAGCTGAATTGGTTTTTCTATTTTGTATGTCAAGATACATTTTTATTTAACTGCACAAAGATACTGGCATAATTCAGAAATGCAGTATTTGCGAAGAGGAATCACTTCCTGACTTTCATAAAACTTTATCATCTTTCTGCACTTTTCAGTGCAGTTTAATCAGGTTGATGATTTGTTCCTTTGACTTCTGATCTATCACAAGCAGACAACACAAGTCAATGTTGGCTCTTCCTAAGAAGGGAGGAAGATGAAGCTGAGTCAGTCTGACTGGTGAGTCAGTCTGACTGGTAGGGCAATAAACTACACAAAGGGGAGCCTTAAAGTCACCATAAAACTGAACTTTGTTTTTGAAAGAAGAATCTCACTTTCTCCAGCTTGGTGTTGGCTCTGAGTCCGCTCAGGGAGACAGAAGCATTCATCCTTCCTTCTTTCGGATTAACCCCAAGGAATCTGCTCAGTATGAGGGTCTAGTCCATCTGCTCCTGCATTTCCAGTGGAACTGGGTTGGGCTGGTGGCCAACCAAGATGACGGTGGGGAACATTTCATTTCATCTCTGCTGCCAATGCTGAAGGAGAAGGAGATCTGCCTGGCCTTCACTCAAATAATGAAATTTGATTTTTACACTGATCCAGGTACAAAATTACATCATATTTTCAACACTTGGTCTAAAGCTGAAGTGATTATTTTTTTTGGAGACTACAGTGCCACCACAAATATGCGGATAGTTGTGTTTGTTCATCAAACACAGAGTAATATATTTCAGAAGGTGTGGATCTTTACATCCAGTTGGAAATTTAACATGATAAACTCTGGAGGCATATTGCTTTTTATGAAGACCTACCATGGTGCTTTGCATTTTAGGGAACACACCAGAGATGTCTCAGAGTTCAGCCATTTTCTCATGTCTTTAAACCCTTTTAAACCACAAGAGAACTTCTTTCTTCCTTTATGGTGGCAAGTGGTCTTTGGCTGCATCATCGAGGAACTAGGAGTGATCCCTGAAGAGTGGCAGAAACCCTGTACTGGAGAGGAGAATTTACAGAGTCTGCCAGCTTACCTGTTTGAAACAACTATGACAGGTGAAAGTTACAACATCTACAATGCCATTTATGCTGTGGCACAAGCATTACATATAATTTACGGATCAGGAGCGCGACCTGCTATGATGAGACTTGGAAAGAGGATCTTAGATGTCCCGCCATGGCTGGTAATCTCTTTTTTTTTTTTTTTATTGAAAGTTTTATAAATTTTACAAAAAAACAAAAACAATACAAAACAAAAGACAACATATACAAAAAAGAAACTAAACATTACATATATATATAAAAAAAAAACCCCATCCCCCACCCCTCACAAAAACCCTCCCTTCCCCCCCCCTGAGCTTCCCAGAGCAGAATATAGGCTTAATTAAAAATTAAGAAATAAAAATAAAAAATTAAATTAAAAAATTTATATTTATATATATATATATAAAAAATATCTATATATATATATAAAAATAAAACTTATAAAAAAGCTATGTGATATTTTTGTATACCCAATCTAAATTGTATAAATTTTATCCATTTGTCCCAAACAGCAAGGAACTTCTCTTGCGTTTGTTGCTTTAAGAAAGCCGAAATCTTTGCCATTTCCGCCAGATAAGCTACTTTAAGAAACCATTCCTGCAATGTAGGCAAAGATTCCTTCTTCCAATATTGTCCTACTAACAGCCTAGCGGCTGTAATCAAATTTAACATCAATACAACCTCCTTTGTATCACAATCTGTAACAATGCCTAACAAAAATAATTGCGGAGTAAATTTTACCCTCCTTCTAAAAATTCTCTGGATATTCCACCATATTTTGATCCAAAATGCTTTTATCTCTCTGCATGACCACCAAATATGATAATAGGAAGCATCCTTATAACCACATCTCCAACATTTGGGTTGCACGTCAGGGTACATAAGAGACATTTTTTGTGGATCAAGGTGCCATCTATAAAACATTTTATAAAAATTCTCCCTAAGGTTCTGTGCTTGTGTAAATTTGACATTTCTCACCCAAATGGTTTCCCAAATGTCCAATGAGACTGGGACACCAAAATTCTGCGCCCATCTAATCATACAATCTTTAATTAATTCCGTTTCTGAGTCCATTTCAACTAATACCCCATAAATTCTCTTGATATGGGTTTGTCTTTGATCCTTGACTTGCTTAATAAGATTTCCATCTTCTCTAAGAAAACCCAATTTACAATCCACCTTCCATTTATCTACTAGTTGCCTATATTGAAACCAAGAATAAATAATATTTTCTTGCGCTAAATCTTCCCGTATCTTAACTGCCAGTTTTGCCCATCCCATCTAAGTAACTGACTATAAGACACCATGTCCATTTTTACTCCTCTTTTTATTCCTTCTATCGCATGCCAAGGTATAGCCCATAATGGAACTTTAAAATCACTTTTATAATATTTTCTCCAAATCCTAAGTAAGGAAATTCTTAAAATATGAGATTTAAAGACCCAGTCCATTTTTTTTATTAAATATTAAATAGGCATGCCACCCATAAAGTAAATCCCATCCCTCTAAATGAAGTATCTCAGGATTTGTCAAATTTACCCAATCACTGATTAGTGTTAAGACCACCGCATCGTAATATAATTTCAAATTTGGTACCTTAAGTCCACCCCTCTCACGGAAGTCTTGCATAATTTTAAACTTAACCCTTGGCTTTTTCCCTGCCCAAATAAATTTATTAAGACCCTTCTGCCACTCACTTAAATTAATCTCATTTTTCAAAATCGGTAACATTTGAAACAAAAAAAGAAACTTGGGTAGAATATTCATTTTTATCACTGCAATTCTTCCCATGAGGGATAATTGCAACTTCTCCCAATTCTTCAAGTCCTTCTGTACCCTGACCCACAACCTTTCATAATTATTTTTAAATAATTTTACATTAGAAACAGACAACATCACCCCCAAATATTTTACCTTATTAACAATCTCAAAACCCGTCAAGTTAGCCAAAATCTGCTTCTCCTGACTAGACATATTTTTAGGTAAGATTTTAGTCTTATTTACATTAATCTTAAAACCCGAAACCAGACCATAATGATAAATCAACTGTAATAAGTTTACTGCAGAATAATCAGGTTGCGACAAAGTAACAACCAAGTCATCCGCAAAAGCTCTCAACTTATATTCTTTTTTGTTAACTTCTATTCCTTTAATTTCCTGAGACTCTCGAATTTTGATCAATAATATTTCCAGTGTTAAAACAAACAACAATGGCGATAAAGGACACCCCTGTCTAGTACCTTTCTCTATTGTAAAAACCTCCGACAAACCTCCATTAACAATAAGTTGTGCCATTTGTTTTTGATATATTACCGTAAGAGCTTGTAATATCTTTTCGCCAAAATTCATTTCTTCCATTACTCTTAACATAAAATGCCAATTCAATTGATCAAATGCTTTTTCAGCATCTAAAAATATGAGCCCTGCAGGAACTTGGTTGTTCTTGTCTAAATATTCTAATAGATTAATAATTTGTCTAACATTATTTTTCATATACCTTCCTGTTATAAACCCTGATTGATCTTTATGCACAAGATGATGCGCCACCCTCATAAGCCTATTTACCAAGATTTTTACAAATATCTTATAATCCACATTTAAAAGAGATATAGGCCTATAATTTTTTGGTAAAGTAAGATCTTGATCCTCCTTTGGAATCAATGATATAAAAGCACTACGCCATGAAGGAGGAATCTCTAAACCCTGTAAGATACCATTAAAAAGATCATTTAATGGTTGGATCATCTCCTCCATTAAAGCTTTATAATAAACAGCTGTTAACCCATCCGTACCCGGTGCTTTCCCTAGTTTCAATTGTTGAATTGCTGAGGCAATTTCCTCCTTAGTAATTAAGCCATTAATTTCATGTTTCTGATCCTCAGTCAGTTTAGGAAAACTTGCCTCAGCTAGATATTTATTTATATCTAGCTGTTGCACATTAGTAGATTTGTATAACTTTTGATAATAATCCAAAAAAGATTTTTTAATCAATTCCTTCTGAGAAACTAATTTACCCTTGTAATTTATTTTCTCTATTATTCTCTATCTCTGTTTCTTTCTTAATTGATAAGCCAACCATCTCCCAGGCTTATTAGCATTACAAAATGTATTTTGTTTCATAAACAATAAATTGGTTGCCGCTTGATCTGCTATCAACATATTAAATTGTGACCTTAGTAACTTTACAGATTCTTTAATACTTTCATCAGAAGGATTTAGAATCAAGGCCCTTTCTTTTGATTTAATTTCATCTTCAAGTTCTCTACGTTTCTGAATCTGCTTCCGCTTATGACAATTATTCATTTTTATCAAAACACCACGCATAAATGCTTTACCTGCATCCCATACCATTGACATTGAAGTCCCCTTATACATGTTCAAAGCAAAATAGTCCTTTAAACACTCCTTTAACTTTTGAACATTCTTCTCTTGTCTAAACAAATTTTCATTAACTCTCCAGGATCTCCTTTCCTCTTTCTCTTGAGTCAGCTCCATCCAAACTGGGCTATGATCCGTCAGTGATCTAGGAAAAATCTTTACATTCTTTACTTTATTATACAAATCCGTAGTAATCAAAAAAAAGTCAATTCTTGAAAAAGATTGGTGTCTATCAGAAAAAAAAGTGAAATCTCTCTTCTCTTGATTACATTCCCGCCAATAATCCCTTAATTCCCAGTCTTCCTTCATATCAAAAAAAGCTTTAGGTAACCTTGCTTGTTTAAGAAAAGGAGAGGAACCTTTCTTGTCCCTTTGTATATCTAAGACACCATTCCAATCACCCATTAATACCACTGATCTATAGTCAAGCA